AAGTACGTATGCAGGAAGTGGCGGACCCAGGTAGGGGAAATTGGGGAAACTGTGTAACATGTATTTTCATAATATTCAATTGAATATCGTGAAATATCATTACAAGATTATATTATAGGTTTGTCCCACAAGCTACTTGTAGAAAAACTCGAGCAAACTTCAAACTGTGAGCGTATATCAAAGAAACTCGAAAACTTACTTGGGAGCGCGTGTATGTAACTCGAACTGACTTCGAGAAGCTTGGGGAACAAACCTAATAAATGGATGCTTTTGAAAATTTTAATTAATGGAAAAAGTGTGTCAAATTTCACTTGAGTTTGAAATTTCAGCTGTGCGCTAAGCTCGAAGTATTGTGTTATTTAAGTAGGCCTATCAGTTTTTCGAATTCACTGAATTTTCAAAATTTTGAATTATGTACTTAATTTTAAAGTTTTACTTTTTTGTTATATTTTCGAATCTGTATTATTTTACACAGTTGAAAGTCACAGCAAGTTTGAATATTTTCACAGGTTCAGAAAACAACGAAAACTAATATTATTAAATTTCTTCAGAGATATTATTTTTAGGATAATTTCCAAAATTCCAAATATTTTGAGAATTTTATTTATCCTAAAATCCATCCTGAAATGTAAAAATGTCAAACATCACAAATTGTCGAAAAATTCTTATGTTCATGGTACTTGTGTGTAAAAAATCGAAAATTCTTAGAATTCTAACAGATATTAACATTTTTGAAAAATTCCAAAATTTTTCCACTTTTCAGAACTTTTCCAAAATTTTGTATTGATATGACAAAGTTTGATAATTTTAAATTTTTTGAAAATTTTGAAAACATCAACGTCCAAAAATTTTTTGAATCTTCAAGACTTACGAAAATTTTTTACACTTTCAAAAACGACGAAATATGAAAATATTTTCAACATTCGAAAACTTTTAATTTCGTTTGATCAATTTTGTATATTCGACACTTTTACTTAGAAAAAATTTGTTAGAATTCCTAAATTTTCAAAATTTTTGAAAAATTATTATATCATTATATTGATTTATTATTTACTAAAATTTCTCAAATTCACAAACTTTTGAAAGTTTTGGAATTCCATTCAAATTATTTAAAATGGGAAACTTCAAAAAATGTAAAACTATCAAAACTCTAAACATTTTAAATTGCGGTGATTTTTAAATTTATATACACGATATATGTTGTGGCCCTGTATGCAGGGCCGTCGAGAGAAAACTCGGGCCCTGTACTAAAAAGTCACATTGTATTAATGTAAATAGAAACCAAGGAAAAAAATATTTCTCAGGTTTCGCAGATTTTTGATTATATCTGGGGCATGCATATTCTCAGGTATCGGACAACGTAAATATACACGAATCTTCTTCTCTCAATGATAAAAATTCATCCTTCATTAATCCTGATAAACCTTTAAATTAATGAAAATAAAGAAGCACAACATGAAATTAAGGGTTTATATTTAAGGACCACCATTTTTTGCATTGTTCTTGCTTTTCTTCGCTTGCCCTGTATTACTTTGAAGTTTATAAAAACAGTATTCGATAAAATAATCAGCGTTTAACTTTCTAAGTGAAAATAAAGTCGGCAGTCGTTTTTATTAATTTTTTTATAAGTTCTATATTTTTTTAACATTGCTTTCAGTTAGTTGTTGAATTTTTAATAAAATTCAACTTTAAACATTTAAAATAGCTAATTGTCACATAAAAAATGTGATATAAAATAAAAAATGTGATATAATGAAAGTAAGTAAGCCGCTGTGGTGTAGCGGTAAGCAGTGCGCGCTTACACTCCGCAGGGCCAGGGCTCAATCCCTGGTCAAAGCAACATCGCAAAAATATAGAAAAAAGGTTTTTTCTTAACAGCAATCGCCCCTCGGCAGTCAATGGCAAACCTCCGAGTGTATTTCTGCCATGAAAAACAGCTTCTCATAAAAATACATTCGCCGTTCAGAGTCGGCGTAAAACTGTAGGTCCCTCCCCTTTGTGTGACAACATCAAGGCGCACAATTTGGAGGAGAAGCTCGGCCAAGCACTAACATATGTGTAAGCGCCAATCCATTATTAATATATAAATAACATAAAATAAATATAACAAAAATAACACTTTTTTCGCAATCGCTGCAACCGAGGATCGAACCTGGCAGCTACAGGTTTGTAGCCCGTAACTCTTACCACTCGGCTACCGCGGACGCGGAACTCGCGCGCATTTTTTGCTTACTTGTACAAAAGACAACAGCTGGCCGTTTTTACCAGTGTTTTCATCGAAAATTCCCCTGATCCGAGTTAATTTCCAAACATTTCGTGCATTTGTTCGGCTGCTTGCGCACATTTTAAAGATAGGGCTGCCAGATATCTCCGTTGCGAAACCGGGACACTTTAGGGGGGAAAGGGGGGGAAGGGACTCTCGCTCCATTCCCTTTCGCTTCGAAAAAATTACGCGCGAAAGGATGTAGTAAAATTTTATTTTGACAGACAAGAACAAAAACATAAAATCATGAGATCATGAGATCATTACAACGTAAGCCAACAAAACAAAACAACTTATCACAACTAAAGCACAGAGAATTTTTCAAAATGCACGCACCTTTTTTATCCTTTATAAAAATACAGTTTATACTAAACACATCAAAATACATAAATATAAAATTTCTAAACTTTGTGCTGAACTCGGGAAAACCTCGGCGCTCGACCTTATTAAGCTGGCATTTCAGGGTACTATTTTATATATATATAAGGAAAATTTGAAAGTTGGGAGGGGAGGGGGGGATGGGCTCGAGCACCCCCTGCCCCTACCTGGCTACGCCCATGACGGCACTGTTAAGTACTCTAGGTTTCATAAAAGAAAAGTATTACAAAAAAAGTAGAAGATAACATTAAAATATCGAATCATATTTTTCGTTGCTGTGAAATTGCTTCAAAACTTCTGTATTTTTCTTAGTATAATTGGAAAACTCTGTGCACGACATTTTAAACGTATTTAGGTACATACATATATTATTCATCAACTATTGCTTGTGCACAGTTTAACTATCTGGAGATGTAACTACATATTTCAAAAATGAAATCGGTGCACTGAGAGAAAGAAGTTTAGAATCAGCGTTCGGACTACTGAAACTCGACTCGGGAGTTAATGACTCGAAAAATTGGAGTAAAAATGAAATTTTCGGAGCAGATCAACATTCTAAATAGTACAAGAAAAAATTAGTTTCGTTCTTAAACTGTTCTGAATAAAACCTGTTAAACCGTCAAAAAGGAAAATAGCTCTTAGAGAAAGAGAGAGAAGCGAAAAAGTACGGGAACGCTTTCTAGTAAAACTGTCAAAAACACCGTGGACGCCATTTTCTGTTTACATGGCAGTTTTTTGTCATTTGGCGATCTGCTAAATTATACGCAAATACAGCAAATTATAAGCAAACGTCAGTAGAAATTATTTGGGTTAAGTTTTGCTATTTCTGACAAAGAGATTACCGTTTTTACTCTTCCATTTTTCCCGTACTTCGCTAGTAGTTTTTCCATAAACTGATTTATAATGTTAAAAAAAAAAAACGTAAATTATCGGACGGCGTATAAATTTCCGACTTTTTGTTAATAAGAGTTCTTGCGAACATTAAGCTTTCAACTAATTCGACATTAAGCCTGTTCCTGTATTTATTTTTAATGAGATTCATCTCCGAAAATTTTCTTTCGGCAGCAGCACTACTGTGTGGTAAAATAGCTAATGTTAGCTTATACTCTGCCAAATTGCTAACCATACACACATACACAAACCATTTTTCTAGTCCTTAATCAATCCCTTGCTTTGAAAAATAAAAAAGTGATTCCGCAAAAAAAGGGTTAAAGAGTAAAAGAGATAACTTCTGTCACACCTTTCTATACAATATCTTGGTGCCACAAAAGTGATTGGACAAAAAATTTTAAAGTTAATTATTTTGTAATATATTCCTAATGTGAATGCAAAAAAGTAAAAAAAACCTGAGCATATTTCGGGCCAAGTGGAGTAGGGAGTAGATTTTAAATTTAAAAAAGAAATCGGAGTAAATCTACCCGATCGGAGCAA